GAATTGGAATGTCAAGAAGGCTACTAAAATGCTGAAAGAGACCTTAAAATGGAGAGCAGAATACAAACCAGAAGAGATTCGCTGGGTATGCCACAATTCATTCTCCTATAAATTAGCTGTAGTTTTGAATAGGAAGTACCAAATGCATTAAGGATTTGACCTTTTCACTCTGCTTGTAACAGGTTACCTTTTTAGTTTTAACTATAGGGTTGTGTAACTGGGCTATTGATAATCAGTTAAGGCATGATGATCTTTCTTAGTGGTAGCATTCTTTGTATTTGTTTTTATACACAGAATAATTCCTTGAATTAGGAACATAAGTACCCTGTATTTAACCCTTAGAGAGTAACCCAAGCCCAATCTACATTTAGGGCTGAACTCTGGTTACTTGGCAGGAGCCTTGTCCTTTTCTGTGTGAATATATAGCTGGTTCAGGTCAAACCTTTTTCTTTTGACATATGGTGATTTTACAATGTTATACTTTTTGTTTGATGTAGGAGGAGGTTGCTCATGAAGCAGAGACGGGGAAGATCTACAGATCAAATTATATAGACAAGCATGGAAGAACGGTTCTTGTCATGAGACCCAGTTGCCAGGTTACGTCTCACATGCTTACCTCTATATCCATGGAATTAGTAAATCGGTACTACATAAATATTGAAGCAATTTTGAGCGAAAGGTGTTAGAGTTCATGTGTGAAGGTTATCCTGCATCAGAGAAAAAAAATTGAGAAACAAAGGACATATATACAAGATACACCCCAATCTAATAGTTTAAGATTTTTGGTCATGCTGGTCTCTCATCTTTGTCCCAACCATAGGATGTTTCAATGCCTCTTAAGCTGTTAATAAGAACACTGTTGTCCTTTGCCAACAGTATTAGTGGGATGACATGTTTGTCTTACAGATTAGTAGCTTTGTATTATTGTGTAGTCAACCATGAAGCAACTATTAGTGAAAAGATACTTTTTCATTTCATATTCTTGGGACCATATCTGTCAATAAGATTCAAGTTTAGAAAGCATACGACATAGCCATGTATTGGTTAGCCTTAACAACTTAATTAAGTTTGTTTTGACTGCAGAACTCAAAATCGACAAAAGGACAGATTAGGTATTTGGTTTATTGCATGGAGAATGCAATTGTAAATCTTCCACCAGACCAGGAACAGATGGTCTGGTTGATAGATTTCAATGGCTTCAACATGTCACACATATCAGTGAAGGTGACAAGGGAAACAGCACATGTTTTACAAGACCATTACCCAGAGCGCCTAGGTGTGGCAATACTATACAACCCTCCCAAGTTCTTTGAACCATTCTGGAAGGTAGCCCATTTTGACCTTTTTTGTCTCTTTTTCATTTTTCCCCTGCTTATTCTTTTCAAGAACATAAATCATATCCGTGAGTTTGGGTTCTCTGTATTTCTCTCACAAATATGCACCGTGTACAAAGATTTATTTTTAAGCATACACGATGATTGCTAATATCTTCATATGGAATTTGGATACATGATTCCTTTTGGTTTTCAGCCCATGCTAGTGTGAGACATTTCAGCACGCTGGTTGTTTCTATGTCAATTGTTTTTCATGTTAATATAAACCTGCAATTTAAATTTATTCCTACACTTAGCCCTGGCACTATGCAAGCCTTTTTTGGTCTTTGACTACCCAAGATTTCTCTTGATGGTGTTCAATGCCATTTTTTTGTTTCGTTTTGTATATTTTTAAGGACAGCTTCTTATGCTGTTATATCCCATTAGTCTCTGCCTCTTATGTGAGTTTGATTTGCCACTGGGAGTTTGTTCCTTTGCAGGTGGTCAAACCATTTTTAGAGGCCAAGACTCAGAAAAAGGTAAAATTTGTTTACTCTGATGATCTCAATACCAAGAAAATAATGGAGGATCTTTTTGATATGGAGAAGATGGAGTCTGCATTTGGTGGGAATGATGATTCAGGTTTCGACGTTAATAAGTATGCCGAGAGGATGAGGGAAGATGACAAGAGGATACCCGCATTTTGGACAAGGGAAAATCCTCAATCAGCAGCTCCACAACCTGCACCAACCTGTTCTGTTGATTTGAGTTCTGTCAATTTAAACTCAGATTTTGATGCTTCTGACAATGACAAGGTAGACAGTTCCCCGAGTCATGTTTCAGATTCAGAAGGCCTCCCTGCCAATAAAAGTGTCTTGGTTAGTGAGGGCAGTGATAATGGCTCCAGGGAAGTTTGACCCTGTCTTGGCTGAGGTAATAAGTTATGATGACCTGACTGTATGCGGCCTTGCTGACTGACTGCTTTTTAAGTTAGAAATATGAATTTCCTTGGATAAGAGCTTGTTTTTATCCCTTTTAAGCCAACTCTTTGATCTTCATGATTAGCTGAAAGTTCTTGGCTCATGAGCTTGTTTTAACATTTGACAAAATAAATGTATGTTCTTCAAATATGGATGCAATAACGCATATCCCTAATTATTAATCTACTAATATTAAGTTAGTAGTATTTGTTCTGAGTTCCAATATTTTTCATTAGAATATTAATACCATTGAAAGATTAAAATCTATCCACTTGTTTTTGAGATCTTGTCCTAACAGCGGAGAAGGTGTGACAAATGAGATTGTCTTTTTCCCCCGTTGCACGTCCACGTGGGAAACTAGAAAGGAAGGGACGGGCAGTGGGCACTGCTTGCTTCCATCAATAAAAAGCTCCTCCTTCTCTGGAAGGTAGGGTTGTACAAATGGGTAGATTGAGTAATTTGATCTATTATAATTAAGGATCAATGAATCAAATATTTTTAAAAAATTGATCAAAATTGATCAAATGTAAAGAAAGATCAAACCAACCAAATATAAATTTGGTTTGGTCGGCTCGATTTAGGACTAATAAATTAAAATTTTATTATTATTTATTTTTTATAAATTATAATATTAAAACTTATAAACTTTATCCATAATAGTATATATATATATATATATATATGAATTAATGATATAACTTATATATTATAATATTTTATATCAAAGTTTGTATAAATAATAACTAATTATAAATAATATGTTATAAAATTTAAAGTGATAGCTAATAAATTTATTAAATGTAATTATATAAATAAAGTTTATTATAAATTGTAACAATCTTAATGTATAAATTAAATATATGTCTACATAATACATCACTTTATTATATATAAAATTAATAGTATAAATTATATGTTAAAATGTTTTATATCAAAGTTTGTATAAATAATAACTAATTATAAACAATATGTTATAAAATCTAAAGTGATAACTAATAAAGTTATTAAGTGTAATCATATAAATAAAGTCTATTATAAGTTATAATAATACTTATGTATAAATTAAATGTATATATAATATATTTATACAATTATACATATATTCATAATATTTTATATTACGAAACATTATTAGAATGTAATAATTATAATATATTAATATGTAAGATATTTACTATAATATATTATAATATTAATATATAAATTATATCATTTAAAATATATAACTTGTAATTTCATATTAATATATATTTATAAATATATATAATTAATATTAAATTGCTATAATCATGATTTGTATATGTACATATAATACCTTAATATATTTTAAGTATATTATTAATTAAGTTTACTATCAATTTTTTTACTATATATATATATAAATTAGTTTTATTTTTTGGATGGATTGGTCTAAAAATTTAAAAATTGAAAACCGACTAAGAAATCAATTAAATTAAATTTTTTAGACAATAGATCAATTAAACTGAACCGTTTTACTTAAATCGCATTTGATTTGTATAGATAATTAGTATGAATTAATTTTACTCACTCCTGCTGGAAAGGCTATTTGTTTTGGCTTCTTCACACTCTGGAAGGGACCTTAAGCCTGGGGGGCCATAGACATTAAGAGCTCATTTTGCCCATTATTTTAAAGGGCGTAGATGCAGTTGGAAAATGGCTGTGCCGCAGATATGGTTTTGGAGCTGGATAAGCTCAACTAAGCTGCGTCTCAGCTCGTCCATTCCCATTTGGGCATGGCAAGGACATCTGCTCGGAGCTAATGCATCAATTGAGGAGAGTTAGCCTATGCTCTTTCCAAATCAAGATGGCATACAGGCATTCAACTTTGTTTGATTCTCACTTACTAGTATTAGTCAGCAGCCGCCATAAATGAGGTTTATTTTAAACGAAAATTGTTGGTATTTCATCCTGAAATCGATGGCTTCAGTCAGTCGCGACAAGATCACCACAACCAAAATAATTACAACAAAAAAAAAAACCCTAATCACTCATGGGGGAAATGGGTTAGATGCATACAAAGCATGCTTTTGCTGTTACTACTTATTAGGTTTCCTTGGCATTGGAATAATGCTTCACTCCTTGTCTTGTTGGATTTTACATCCATGGACCACCTTCCCTTCTTTCTTTACATACCATCCACAGAGAGTCCAGGAATAAACCTTATGTAGTAGCACATGGAAGAAAGTAATCCAATTGCATAAAAAGACGAGTTTCCAGTCCATATTTTCTCAATACAAGGGCAAATGTCTGAAATCATTAAAAGCACCGTAGAAACTGAAAAAAATTAAAATAAAACAAGGCTTATTTCAGTATATCAATTACAGGGTATGAATGTTCAGGATCTTCGATGCAGACACCTAACAAGAACTTTTAAGGACGTAGGCAGGGACTTGCAACTAGTAGGTTAGGTGCATCCATAGGAAAAATCAACTGGGATGGCAGCTATCCTTCTGAGCTATTGGTCCAACATTATAACCAACACTAACTGTAGATGGTAATGCAAAAGGAAGCCCCTGGAAAACAGATTAAGAAAATGTGTAAAATTGTTTGAGTTGCAAAGGGGGCTACTATACTAATACACAGAAGAAAATAAAAATAAAAGCCAGATTTTGATGTTACCTATACTTACAGGAACTGTCAATGCAACATCTCATCTAATTTCTGCCTGTATTGAGCCAACCTCTGTAGAAATTCAATTGGCAGAACCATTAGTTTCCTCGATTAAGATTAATAATTCCAGATAATAAGGTCAGAAGAAGTCCCTCAAAACAAGAGGATATAGATAGTATTAGTAATAATTAATTCTACTGAAACTTTTCTAGTTTTTCATTTTGAGGTCAAGACCTACAATACCAAAGTTAAGAACATAAAGCATAATTTCCAGGTTTATGTCAACCCTAAGAATTCAACCAGAAAAGCTCCTGTCATATAAATCAGGTAATTTCCATGTACCATCATGTTTCAGTCCGTCACTTCAAAAAACAAGTAGAGTTCTTACATCAGCTTCACAAGACTACTAGTTCCAAACAAAAGATTATTCAATAAATGTTGAGAAGAGGAAGAAATCATGATTCTTATCTATAATAATATGACCCAAAATATTTTTCCCTATAAGACAACATAAGTCACAATTACCTTTAAAAAAAAAAAAAACTTAAGTCACGGTTCCTGAAAACATATCGTATGATAGAGGCATTTTTAATTTGTATGACCCGTCTGAACAGCTAACTCCCTAGTTTCCGCATAGAAGTTCCAAGGTTATTCCTGATGCTCCTAAACTTTAACGCAAAAGCTAATGAAATATTCCAAAAGCCCAAATGCTACATGCTTTCCATGCCCTTTTTTATCTCCTTTCCTTCTTAAAAAACTAATGAAATAACACCTACTGAGTCTTTTTATAACCTTGAATCGACCTATCAATTCCAAGCTACAGAAGCAAAAGCATGTAAATAGAAGCAGCAGAGTAAATGGCTTTACATACAGGTACATAACAGATCAAGAATAATACTGCCAGAAAGTTGCTTACCCTAGTATAAGCATAGACTCCAGCCTCTGTTGGTGCTACAGGACTTCCCCTCCGAAGGAACTTTCCTTCTTTAAAAATGTAAAGCATGGGTATCCCAGTTGATAGTTCTAAACTGATAACCTGTCTCACGAAAAATACAAATATAGCCTTATTGTTAAAACAAGAGAACCAGGAAAACTGAAAACATCCTGCATGGAACAAAGAAAAGGGTTCATACCTCCTGGGAGGTTAATTTGTCAAGATACATAATAATGGACCTTAATGAATTCCCATGGGCAGCAATCATGACATTCTTTCCAGATAGGAGTTGGGGTTCAATCTGCAAAATCATATATTTGTTGTGAGGTGCTAATAAATTGTATTAACGAACTTGAATCTCTAAAGTTATCTAAGGCCTTACAGATTGACAAAATCATTAGATAATAGATAAAGCCAGATATAGAAGTTACATTATCTTTAAAATATGCAACAGCTCTTTGAGCACACATTTCCAAACTCTCGCCATTGGGTGGAGGTATATCATAACTTCTACGCCACTCATGAACTTTTTCCTTCCCAAATCTATCTGCAGTTTCCTGTTTATTAAGACCTTGTAATTCTCCATACCTACACAGGAAGGATACTGCATGAATCATTCATGAAATAAAATTGAGAAAATTTGAGACATCCGGTAAGAGGACAAACACAAAAGCATGAGCAATATGACTTCATTCTTCTTGATACAGAGAAAAAAAAAGTGCATACATTCTTTCATTCAATTGCCAAGCTGCTATAACAGGAATTGATTGCTTCATCGTGTCTTCACTGTATATTTGACTCCATGCCCTTGCTTGCTCACTCTCATTATGCATGATAATTGGCACCTGCCAACAGTCATTGTTAAAAGGTTATCAATCTAATAAATTGACAAACAATAAAATCACCACACCTGGACCATTAGAAAGTAAATATGGGGTTTTAAATAACTTCAAATCCATTTAACCACGTCCATGATTTTACCAATGACCAATGATGACCGCATCAAGTCCCCAGTATCACCAAGAAGTCACTAGCACCTAAACTTTAGGTGCAATATAATTTACTTTTCCTCAAGTTACCTTCTTGCGGCGGTGCTGAGTCATGGCTAGCATAGCAGTCATCTGTGCACGAATTAGTGCCGATGTGAATATCATGTCGACAGGTATGTTGCTGATTCTCTTGCCAGCTTCAATTGCCTCTTCCACCCCCTTCTTGGTTAATGGCACATCAACACAGCCTGTAAACAGGTTCTTCTCATTCCATAAAGACTCACCATGGCGAATCAGTATCAAAGCTGCTTCATCTGCAATGAATATCAGAAGGAAAAAATCAGGCGGTTTAACAAAAATGAACCCAACTTTGTTCCCCAAGTTATGAGGAAATACCAAATCACTTACATCAGTTGGAATCAATGTGCTTTTGCAGTCTGCCATTGCAATTTGAGAAATTAGGATTTGTACTACCCAAACAACTAGTAAAGAAAGGCTAAAAAGTGCAGTTGGATCTAGCTTATAATGATGAAGAAACAATGGTGCATTGATCTATTATAATGCAAATTAAATATGAAACGATGTCTACAATGGTCTGGCTTACTTGATTTCTTGCGAGATTCATGGGTCCCATTATTTGAGGGAGATAAAACAGGATCAAAAAGAGAGGTTTGGGAAGCTGAGGCTTGAATAACACTGAATTTCCTCTCTCCAGAACTGTATGTCCCTCTTTTTGAGAACCCAACTTCCACCTTAAAACTTTTGGGAAGCAACCTTACTGAATTGTTCCCAACTTCACAATGAATTCCAGAATTGCTGAGAAGGTGAAGAGTACCAACTGTTTGGTGCAACATAGCATTGGCCATTCTGAAAGTTCATTATAAGCAGGTAGTAAGAAGAACACCTTCCATAACTTGACAGAATGAAGCACAAATATACAGGAGAAAGTCATCATTATTGACAAACTGATGTTGTGCTCAAGAATAGTGCATATGCCCTTCCATCGCACTAAATGAGAAAAGGAGGCTGGAGCAAATGAGTGCTAACAGGAAACTCGTAATTATGCCATTAAGGGTGTTTATTCATTTTAAATCTATAGTTAAAGTAGACTTAGGAGAGATTAACAACCTAATCATTTAACAAGCTCCAACAACATTCAAGGGGAGGCAACAAGCTTAGTAAACATAATCTACCTCTCTAGGATCACTACCCCACCACTAAACACTAGAAAAGTCATTCATTTGAGATAAAAAAAAAAGGAAGAAACGACAAATTTTTGGCTACCAGGAAGTCGATCATAAACACAATAATTAGCAAATAACCTATATTGAAAAATAAGCAGGCAGATCCAAGAATCAAAAAGGTATCCCAATCAAAGACGCAAATTCAACATTACCCGCGTAGGCTTTCTTCCATAAATCAAATAAACATTAAAATTTCAAGACATCATGAATCCAGGAAATGAGACAAATATGGTGTACAAGATGAAACCAAACCTTAAAAGACAACAACCCAGAAACCAAAAGTGAAAATCCCAGAAGAAAAGAAAAGAGGTTGTTCGCCTTGTTGGGTACACGAAAAAGCCGACCCTCGGGTTTATATAGGCCAACAGCGAAGAAACCGAGGCAAAGAAAAAAATGCGAATATGGGGCAGAGTTTATTACAAGGAGAAAAAAAAAGAAAAGTTGTCGGAGACGGAGATGGAGGTCTGGTTAATAGAGAGTCACGGCTATTACGTGTCAATTTCAATAGACAAAGAAGCCAAAAACAAATCAGGAAGAGGGAAAACTCTTGAGTTGTTTTAGGAATTGTCAGATGCAACACTCTCAGGTTTTATAGGAACAATCGTTGATGTTGCTATCGTTCCTGTCGACACGTTTGGAAATTGGAACAGTTTAATGACAATCGACCAAGTACCCCTTTTTTTTCTTATAACAAGACACAAATTTTATGGGCTTCTCCTTTGTGTTCTGTTTTGTTTTTATTCAGGCACAGTAGTTTTTTATTAGAGTAAAATATTTTTTTTGAGTGGGTAAATTATTAGGTTTAATAATTAATAATATGATAATTTTTTATTTATTAATTAAAATTAAATATAAATATCCATAAATTATAATGATAAATATAAAATTCAAATAATTAAATAATTTATTTACAAAATAAATAAAAAAGGACTCATAATATTAAAATATTATTTGATATACAATATTATTTTTCCCATAAAATTATAAAAAAAATTAGTAAATCCATTAGAATGATTAACTATATAAACTCTAAATTAACTAATATAACTAAGTAGAAATTTCAGGAATGAGTGGGTCATGTGACACCACTAGCTATAAGGTACGTCCAGCCCTGGCTATTTTTAGACTAACTATGGATTTGCTAAATTGGAGTGTAAAATTGTTGAATTGTTATTTGTACGATGGGCCAAATTTGATGCCAAAATGTATTAGTAGTTGGTATTAATTCCACGTTGAAAATATTTACAATTGTTTAGTTTGGGGGTTGGATTTCTGAAGATCTGAGTCAAGTTGTAACTAAGGATGACATCGGTGGTGAGTGAATGACTACAAATGGAGAACATAATCAATGATTACGTGACCCTTTTTTAAATGGTAATGACTGTTTGTACGACAAAGCATGAGGCTTAAGTTTGAGAGCTTGGGGGAAGAAATGGTAACAACCCTTCGTGGGATTGTAAGGACCAAACCCTTCCTAACTCCAACCCAAATACCAAACAAAAGCAACCCCTCATGGCCTCAAGTTCAAACCACCTAACACCATTGCTAACTCTTCCTTCCTTCTCGTGGGGTTTTGATCTTACACGTGCTTAGGTCGTGCATGTTTTTTCAGACCAAGGAACTCACCTACCAAGATCTGCCTTCAAAAATTGAACTCTTTGACTCTCTCTTGGATTAAGGGTCAAAAAAGGGGGACATTTCATGTTTTTGGTATGCGGCAAATACTTCCAAGTTAGGTTTAATGAGTCTTGCTGGCGTATGAAAGAATATGCTTAGGCATTGTTCTTCTGCTTCTCTGGATTCCGGATGAATTGAATTGAAGCAAGGATTTGTGTTAATTGATTGTAATACCTCACAAAAGTATTCTACTTAATTACTTATATAAAAAAATAAATTAGTAATTATTCAGTTATAATTAAATTTAAATAAATAAATATAATTTAAGTCTAAGTTTTTATAATTGTGAATATGATTTTGAGTTTATTAATAAAGAAAGAATAGTAAAAGGGATCTTTAAGAGTAACTTAGTTAATATCAGTTTTACAATATCACGTTATTTACACGTTTAAGAGAAAAACAGATAAAAGAGATATTATTAAATGAAAATTTCGTATCTTTTGAATAATTGTATTTTAATATGATATTTGAAGATTTGGGGTTTTTGAAAAAAATTTGAAGATATTACATTTAATTAAGTATGATATTGTTGCTTTACATTAGATTCATCTCATAAGTATGTGGTGTTTGTTATGTTTTAAATTTTTGAATTTGGAATGTAACAGATTTAGTAGTGTTAGATCAGATTTTGGGTACCCACGATGTATGACTAAATGCAATGGACCTTTGTTGAAGTGGGAGAGGATATTACATACTGGGATTCAACCTCATGCTCAAACATGAAAAATAATAAAAATTAAAATATAACATAACGAAAAAATAAAAAAAAAATAATCAGAAAAACAGTGAAATCCTACGGATCAATATTTGTGTTTTTCATATAATTTTTAAATAAATTATAAACACTCGTAGGTTTAAGAGGTACATACCTTATTCTAGATATCGTAATCAAGAGTCAATTAAATCGAAAAATATTAATTGTCACAAGAATATCTCACAAATTCGTAAAACTAATGGACCTAAGCGAACAATATCTCACAAGAATTAATGTAAACTATGACATTAATTGTCATTGTGTATACTTTTCTTAACAGGTCACAAACAAGTTCATGGTTTGTCAAGAGAATATGATTTTGATTTACCTCATAAATCCTAGCCCTTTTCCAAGATTTTGAAGGCTTTCTAAATATAGAAGGTAAAGTTTCATGCTTCCTGTTAAGCACTAAATAAATGAGGAAAGGAAACATGTCGTACGAACTATACGTCCAAGTAAAATTCAGAAATGAACGAAAGAGAAAATGACAAATAAGCATAATTCATTGACAAAAACTCAACACAACTCCACGTCACCTGATTAAGTTGCTTCTCCAATTGGTTTTTATAAGCTGTAACATTCATATAGATAAAATATTGCTTCTCCAGTATTTTAACAGATGATGCTTTGTTCTTGTTTTGCTAAAGAAAATAAATATTTAAGGTGAAACTAATTAACTCACGTCTATCTTTGAAAATGGTTCCTCCGTACCTTATATATAGTCTCTTTGTGCACCATGCAAAGTTTCGACTTTTGAACAAAAATGTTTCATTAAATCCCTCTATTATAAGCATCCATGCACTCTAAAAAATTGTTAAATTCAGTCCAATAATTAATAGCGTTATAATAATTTCACCTAAACATCACATCAACTTATTTAATGGTGTGTTAACTTTTAAAACGAAATTGATAATTTTTGAGAATACAAAGAATCAATTTACATAAATTATAACGAAAGGATTAAGTCCAGCATCTTCGTACGATACAAAGATTCAATTCTAAAATTGGCTTTTAAATTTTCATTCATAAAAAAGAAAGCGTGGAAAAAAGTTTGGACTCCTTAGTGGCCCAAGGGCTTAAGAAAGAGTCCATTGGATGTACTTTGCCAATTTTGGCCTAGAGGCCCTTGACGGTTGGAGTCCGCTCTCTGGAAGTTAAAATTTTTAGATCCAATACTTTTATGACAACATCCATATCTTTCCTATAACTTGCTTTATTTCAGTCACTGGATACGACCATTGTTTTGTCTTCTTTTTTTTTTTTTGTTTCCCTTCTCTTTACCGAACATGTGCTTAGAATTTAGAAGTGAGTGAGCATTCTCAACAGAAGAAAAAAAGATTCATCAAGGAAAAAGAACAGCAATTACCCAGAATACTTCTGAGACCGAAGCCGTTGCATATTTATAAAATTGTAATAGAATTCAAGGATGATAAGTTATAAGTCCTCTAAACAGAGAAATAACAAAACAATTCACATAACAAATAGCAGACAAACATCATACGCCGACTAGTCAATTAGACTCTCAAGAAACTCGAGACCACACTCTACACATCTTCCTCCTGGTATAGCTTCATAATCTCAGCACAGCCAGCGTCAGCCTCATCAGCCATGAAGCCCATGGCATTGGCAAAGCGCGTGTTGGATGCAATGCCATTGAAGTTGGTCAAGACCACACGGGCACGTTCACGACCTGGGGACATTTTGGCACAGTCAGGCTGGGCACTCTTAACAAGAATGGCATCACAGATCTCATCCAAGTGATCCTCAGACACAACAATCTTGTAATGTCCAGTTGAATCTGTGTATCCCTCCTTCTTGTATACAACTTGGCCGCTCTTCCTGTCACTGCATTCCACCTTAACCTTGGCACCTACAAAGCACAAGACCCAATAAACCAAATTTCGGAACCAAAAACAACAAATTGTACCATTAATCACCCCAAAAGTAAAATCTAAGGAAAAAAAATTCAATTCCCAAAATACCAACAGCGAATGGATTTGATCGGATAACCATGAACTATATTCCATCTCCATGAACCAGCAATTTTGGGCTCATAAAATTATGACCAAATGTATAATTTTGGGAACATAAAGCTTTTCCCTTTTTGGTCAAAATTACATCTTTATATCGCCCAGAGACACAATCACCCTCATGACAAGGGTTGATCCGTCAGTTGCAAAACTATAGAAAAAGAAAAAGTAGTTCCAATATTTTTAGGCTAATTGCCCACTGCCGTTTTTACAAGATTTGAACTTTTGTGGTTTTCACTAATTCTGTAAAAGACCAGTTGACGACCAGTCCAATATTAGCTTACGTTCCATACCCCTATTTACTTGCACTCATGTAACATCAAAGCCTCAAACTAGTTCACAGATCTACCAGTTCACAAACCAAGAACCCAGATCTAACAATGTCACCAACATAACACACAAAAACTGACACAGGAAACATAGATAGCATAGAAGAATGACAGAAACGGAAAGTACCAGCCATGTTTCTAGTCTTTGGGGTTTCAAAACCAGCACGGCAACGGTCACAGTACACCTGTCCTTGCACCACCAAAGGGTTCTTCACCATGCGTGTTGCACTGACCAGAGCCGGAAGCACACATAGTGCAATGAGCAACAGAACTTTGGCCATTTTTTTTTTTTGCTTCTTTCTCTGAAATCCGGGTTTTTCTCGAAATGTGTTGAAGAAACGGAGAGAGGGCTTGGAGATTAAATTCTTAGCAACGAATCAAAAGGCATAAAGGGTAAGTGACGATAAAGTGGAGTGATATAAGGAAATTAAAGAAAACTGAAAAAAATTGAAAACTGGCTAAGCCGCGTTAACAGAGTGTTTCCAGGTGTGGTCGATAAGAGAATAAGAGTTGCTGTTTCTAGATGCCACGTCAAAGCGTTGGTGGCTTTTGGGTAATATTGAAGTAAGAAAGGGGTGTTTTGGTGGATAGGCGGGGTGAGGATGGTGAGTGGGGAGATTTTATTGGTGGGTTGGAAAGGGCATTTGGAGAGGAAGAAGTAGAGGATATGACACGGGTCGTGATTGATTGTAGCTGGCATGTGTCGGTGGGGGTGGTCACATGGGGTCTTGAGAAGGATGCCACAGCAAGCAAAGTTGGGCGCTGGGCGTGGGATGGCAGTAGCATCATTATTAGACAACTGTTTCACCTCTTTCTTCATTCACCACCACCAATCACGCTCGTGGAGCCAGTCTATTTGTGTTCATACATGACGAGGTGAATCCATGATATTTACTAAGGGCCAAGTGCCCAAGTTCCTCGAGACAGGCCTGGAACGTGATGGTTTTTTCCTTTGCAGTTTGGACAATGGCCCAGAAAGAGACTGTGATTTAAGCCTCTCAGGGAACAGGTTTACTATAAATTCACAAAATATTCCTTCACTCCTCCATCCCTTCAAATATTCTTACAAAGAACTTAGCGCACTGATGTGATTGTAACACACAAGTGTGGACTAAAGCCAAATTTGGAAGTGAAAATAGAACTATCATTATCTTTATGTAAAAGTTATACTAGCATGGACACATTCTGCATATTGAAATTGAGTGCTGGGTTCCTACGTGAGTTTGTTATGGTAGACACCATCCGAAATTTTTATTCAATCTCCTGGTGAAGTGTTATACACAAAAATGCATACCGGGTAGAGGTTTTGTTGTTGAAATTGGTTTACTGAATTCACTATGTTATTTTCCATTCAAGCTTACTTGTATCTAACTCGGAAGGAAAACACTTCCCAAGAAGGACGGGTACATGAGTTGAAGTCTAAAGTTGAAGTTCCGAGGTGTCAAGATCAATAAAAGCAGGAAATAGATTCATTTTGTGGCTTCTTTTTTTTTTCTTTTTATTTCGAGCCATGAGGTAAATAATATAGTTCGAAGAACTAGAAAGACGCAACAGGCAACAGCTAAGCATGGACGTCAATGACAGCTCTAATCATCTTTTTATGTGTAGAAAATAAGAAAAATATGAACAAGTTGAACTAAGAAAACTTCAGTGAGCTGAGCTTGAGTACATGATCTTTGAAAATGGGACAGAACTTAAATAAGATTTCTTAAGTCAATTTTTGAAGTTTTCCTTTAAGGCAATCAGGCCAAAAAGATGGCTAAGACTGTTAAAATCGACTTCTAAAACTGACCAAGGCATGACAATGTTCAATCTCATAAGAGCTTGAGCTCCTCATACCATTACTGCTCCTCTCTTTTGCCCATGTGATATGTTATCTAGTCTTTCTTTTAAAATATATCTTGCCTAGATTGAATCAATTAATCCAAGGACAAGACAAATTTTTGCTTTCCACTTTATCAACAACCGACAATTCCAATCTAATACAATGGTATATCGATATCTGGGGTTATGGTGCACTTCAACTTCAAGACACATGATATATACAATGACGACCATCAATGTATGCTGAAAGTGAATAAACCAGCATACACCAAAATGGCAATTTTCTCAAAAAGGAAGCTGCTACTTCTCTGGATCTTATCCTCTTGTATGCTTTGTCTTTCAAAAGGGAGAAGGACTTGAGATTTTCGCATAAAAGCAGTTAATCTTGGAGGTTGGTTGGTTACAGAGGGATGGATTAAACCTTCTCTTTTTGATGGCATTCCAAACAATGATTTTCTGGTATGTGAAATGTAAAACCATCCTTCGCTGCACTGTTCTTTTAATAAATTATGCTTTTCATTCTTTTTGGTTGCTGCTTCACTAGGATGGAAACTCACTTCAGTTCAAATCAGTAACAACTGGGAAATATCTTAGTGCCAAGTCTGGTGGAGGAACAAGCATCGCTGCTGATCAAACAATTGTTTCAGAGTGGGAGCTTTTTAGAGTAAGTTAACTTTGCCAATGCCATGTACTTAAGAGTTAATAACAGTACATGATTTGATTGATAAAAGCAATATTCATATGTTCTTCAGCTTTGGAGAGTAAATGAGAGTACATTCCAGTTTCGGGTCTTCAACAACCAGTGTGTGGGACTAGAAAATGCTGGAAATGGAACACATGTGGTATCTGTTTCAAAAACGCCTGCTAGACTTGAAACGTTTGAGATTGTCAGGAAACCTGATGAATCAAGTCTTGTAAGGATTAAAACAGCGAATGGGCTCTTCATCCAGGTAATTAGTATGCAACTAGAGAGGTTTACTAATTCTGTTTTCTGACTTCTGACACGAGTTCAGCAAGTTGAGTTGCTTAATTAGTCTTGGATCAGGAAAAAGCTATTAATTTTATCCAGATGCTGATAACTAATATATCACTTTGCAGTTGTATATGACTTTATTTTCTGATAATCTAAATTTAATGCTGTTTTTGTATTCTCATGAATTACTCTCAAGGAAAAGTTTTTCAACTTATATCCAACAAAATAGTGCATAGCCATTACAGCAGCCCATGGCTGGTGACTATTTCTGTCTTTCTAATTTTCAGGTGAACAAGGTGAATATTGTGACAGCTGATTATGCAGGCAACACTGTATGGGGAAATGATGATCCTTCTGTTTTTATAGTGACTGTAAATGGAACAGCTCATGGTGAATATCAACTGACTAATGGTTATGGAGGAGAGAAAGCTGCACAAGTTATGAGGGTAGGATCAAATTGATGGACTACCAAGAATACTGAATGCTTGATCAGCACCATTGTTGCATATATGACATTGTTTAACTCTCCATAAAGAGAAATTCTTTCAATCATATGTCCACTGCATGGAAAACTTAATGGCTTACTGCCTGCAGGTACACTGGAACACTTTTATAGTTGAAGATGACTTCAAATTCATCGTGGAGAATGGACTAGATGCGGTACGAATAACAGTTGGATGGTGGATAGCTAGTGATCCAACGCCTCCTTTGCCTTATGTTGGGGGATCCTTGAATGCGTTGGACAATGCTTTTTCTTGGGCTCAGTAAGCTTATCACTCTAAGCAGAATCAGTGCAGTAACAGAAATACGGGTTGAAGGTTGTAATCGATCTGCATGCCGCACCTGGTTCTCAGAATGGATATGAACACAGCTCTTCCAGAGATGGTTCGCTCGAGTGGGGCAAAACAGATGATACTTTGGAAAAGACAATAGCTGTAATAGAATTTCTCACAGCCAGGTGAAAATCAAACCTCCACCATATATATGTCATAAATTCATAATCTGCTATATTACACATGCAAGTATTCAGCTCTAGACATTATCATGGTCACATCTAGGTACGTGGAGAACCCAAGCCTATATGCAGTAGAGCTGATAAACGAGCCACGTGCCCCAGTGGTGCCTATAGAAAGGTTGATTAAGTACTACAAAGCTGGTTATAAAACTGTCCGCAAGCACTCCTCAACAGTTTATGTGGTGTTGTCAAACCGGTTAGGAACATCTGAGCCAACTGAGCTGGTCCAGCTAGCTAGTGGCTTAAAGGGATCCGTTATCGATATCCATTAGTACAGTCTCTTCAATGACAAATTCAGAAACATGACTGTCCAACAGAACATTGATTTCATCAACACCAATCGCTCCACAGAGTTGAATCGTGTAACCAAATCTAATGGCCCTCTCACTTTTGTAGGTATGCAACTATAATTCTCACGAGTAATAGTCTGATAACAGTCGCATTCTAATTACTAACTGGAAGATCTTTATTTTCAAATCCCTCCTTGCCCAAGTATATAGAAAAGGAAAAGAAAGAGTTGTGTAATGCCAATAAAATGGAATTTTTATTGCTGCTAGTTTGTGGCTATTTTGTTTTACAGGGGAATGGACCGCAGAGTGGGAATTCAAGGGAGGAACTAAAAAGGATTACCAGAGATTTGCAAAGGCCCAAAAAAAGGTGTACAAGCGTGCCACATTTGGGTGGTCGTACTGGACTCTGAAGAATGTGAACAATCATTGGTGTCTTGAATGGATGATCAAGAATGGCTACATCAAACTCTAGCTTTTTAACATCACTAATTGGACTTCTTCTACAACTTTCAAGCCTTCTCCTGTTGTTCTTCTTTCAGCCAAATATAGATATTAACTGGGAAGAAAAATTCAAAACTCTTCTGCCTGAACAGTCTGATTTTTTGCTTTGTAAGGCCTATATTCAAATCGATATCTGAAAATGGTCATGCTCATTTTCACTGGTTTGCTTGGTCAAGAAAGGAAAAACAGCAGTTTCTTTCCGCCACTGTTTGAGGGAATGAAAATGAGCTTATAAGCCTAGTTGGGCCACTGTTTCTTTCAACAGCTAATGTCAATTTCATTGACAGAGAAGATTGTTTAACTCTTGCGACCGACTATAGGTAAAGCCAACAGTAGTTACAACTATTCAATAAAACCATTCAAACGCACTTATTCCATCTTTAACCATTGAATTCCACGTTTTCTATTTTTTTTTTTAAGTCAACCCTTTCACGCTCAATCATTGCTCTTTCACGCACTGGTACCACCGCACCGGATTAGCGAGGGAACGTGGACCGAAATAAATAAATGGACTTTTTCTATGAAAAACATGGATGAATCTCGGAAGAGATATCAATATCAGTATATAGCTAATTAATGCATATATAAAGTCTAAATTATTAAAAAAAATTAGGCAAAAGTGGCTGTTGCTTAATATTTAAATAAATAAATCTTTTGCTTGATATAGATTGTGCTCAAAATTTAACTGTGAAATATAAGTAAGGATTACGTGCAAGTGCACACGGTAACAATAAGTAATATAAAGATTAGTAGAGTTGTCGATCCTTCGAGGAGTTGATTTACTATTTGTTACTAATTACTAATATTGTAACAAGCTAAGTTTTATCCAAGCAACAAGAGGAATAAGTTGTTAAAATTAAAATAAAATTTACTCTAAAAATTTACTTTAACCTAAGGATTGCAAGTTAAATGTGTATTAAGAAAACAATATAACTAAGGCCAAGGACTATGGTTTCAGCTATTACTTTGTAAGAATACAAGATCAATCAACTACTTACTTTTTATAGGAATAAATGTTAGTCTAGGTTCCCTAAGCATGCATAGTATTCCATCGAGTTATTACATAATTGCCTAACTTCACTAACTATCTATATGTCTATAGAACATTAACTAAAGTTAAGTTCACTAAGTTTAGGACATATAGTGACTATGTATGATTAATAGGTATATG